TGGTGCGCTGCTCCGGCCCACTGCCCCCCTGCCGCTCGGAGCAGCAGCGGGCTGAGCGAGGTGGGGTCGCTGGCAGTGGGTGCAGCCGGGCAGGCAGCGGTAGCCCAGGAAAGAGGTGGTCTCCACATGCGCGTAGGGACGGTGTGCTGGCCAGACCTTGCTTGCGTGCAGATTTGGGATGCGCAGGCATTCGGCAGCCTGGGTTGCAGGGCAGCTGGGAGAGGCATAACCGAGGGCGGCTGTCAGAGCTCCCCTCACCCTCGCGTCTCCGCGGTGGGTAAACGGACGGACGTGCCTATCAACCGTGCCCCGGCTGCGCTGCGCCGCTCTGGTGCGTCTGCACGGTGTTGCTGGATTGCTAGCTGGGACGGCAGCCCGGTTACGGGTGTCGATCACCCAGCATGTGCCCTGGGCTCTGCAGGAGCCTGATGAGCCTTACCTGCGTGCCCGGAGCAGCCGCCATCCTCGGCTCCCTGCAGAGCAGAGGTGGGGAAGTCGGCAGGGCGCAGCTCCCTGCAGCACAGCTGGAGCCCCGCAGCCTGTGCGGAGCACCCCCAAAATCCCGGCGTGGGAAGCTTCGGGTGGCACCGGCCCCTCTCCCACCCCCGGCACTGCCCCGCCTGCACCTGGCTCCGCGGCCGCGCCCCGGGGCCCTGCGCTCCCTCGGCACCCAGATGAAGCCTGCTCGGCAGCGGGACTTCTCACCCCTCTGGGCAGACGGACAGGCTGAGCAGAGACGAGGGACCCTGTCCTGCCCCTCCAGCAGGCAGCAGCACAGAAGTATCCAGCGCCAAGTTTGCATTTTCTTGTTCATTTGTTTGCTTAACTTTTCAAAGAGCAATAAAAACATCCTACTCTCAGGGGAGTGTTTGGCGAAAGAAACTGATCAGAGGGCGCAAACCCAAAACTACAGTCATGACCGATACCCGCACCTCCTGTGTGTACATGTATATTTGTAGAGATTCTCTCTGTTGTGTGCAGCTATGTACATACAGATGCATTGGCAAGTTGCAATCCGAGGATAGTGCATAACAGAAACGAAAGGCAGATGCAAGACTGGTCGTGTGCAACAGTCAGAGGCCTTTGGCTGCACAGTTGCCAGCTCAGTCCCGCGTGGAGCTGCTCACAGCCCAGCTTCGAGCAGCAGGCGGTCCCAGGGAACCAGCCTTGCGGCCAGCTCCCCGCCGGGCCCGTACAGCGAAAAGCGTCCGGGTGGGGGGGCCGGG